GTATGCCCCTGGCCGGCCAGTCTGCCTGGCAGTGGCACATCTGGGTCTGGTGTTCCAGAATCTAACCCCACAGCCTGGCAGCTGTTCCAGCAGTGTGCGAGCCACATCCGCCTGCGGGTAACCTGACTAGCACAATCTACCGAGCAGGGTTCAGCCAGAGCTCCTGCAGGGAAATTCAAATTCGGACACTTAGCAGGAGTTTAAAATCACCACAGTGTTCCCATTTGGGTCTTAAAAGGGGGTTCGTCCTGGGACTACCTTTCTCATACCCGCCTTTAAACGAACTTTGTGTTCGTCAGCCCACTTTGTCCCAGGGGGGCTAAAAGACAGAAAGAGCAATCCAGGGCTCAAACACGAAACTTTTAAGAGTTCATAGCTCTAAAATCTGTCATCTGTCGCCAGCAGCTTACTTACACCCCCCCCCCACACACACACACACACACTCCAGCAGACTGCAGTCCAGCCGCTTCTGCAGAAGAAAAGTGGCCCATTTAGGATCTCTGAACAAGGAACTTCGGAAGTGGGGCGCGGTTAACTAGCCAGAAAGCACAAATGAGGGTGTTGGTGTTTGGCGCTCGCCTGCAGAGACCATCTCTGCACACCCGGTTTGAGTGTGCAGCAGTGTTCTCTATGCATCTTGGTAGAATACTCAGGGTCATCTTCCCCGGAGAGAGCAGGCGAGCGCCACAGCCCAGCACAGAAGCATGAGCTGCAGCTAGCTGACCCAGGGCTGGGACTCGTGGCTCGCAACCTGCCAGGGGACCTCTCCTCATCAGAATTTTCTTTCGTTCTTTCTCTTTCTTTCTTTCTTTCTTTCTTTCTTTCTTTCTTCCTTCCTTCCTTCCTTCCTTCCTTCCTTCCTTTCTTTCTTTCTCTCTTTCTTTTCAGACTCTTTAATGATTTTGGTCTGCAGTCAGTTCCATATTCTTCTGCAGTGAAATATCTTCCTGACTCCAAACCCCTAAGAGTGGAAAACAAACAGTCACAGTTGCACCAAATTGCCCAGGTGGCATTCCGGGGACCGGGTGCTTCGGAAGTACTCTTCCACATAAAGTTCTCGGGAGTTTTGGCAATTCTGGGACAGACCGACTCAGCCTGTCATTGGAGCCAGTTCACCTTAGCGAGGGATCCCTGAGTTTGGGAAACAAGAAAATGGTACTATGACTTTTACCTTGGAGGCTAAGAGTGTAGAGACTTTGTTTTCTCATCCCCCAAGCCCTGACCCCAGAGAAGAAGAAGAAGAAAAAAAATAGAAAACGAGTGGAGCTAACGGGTCTCTATTTGCACCCTCAGGCTTTTGTCTTCTGAACTGCACAGACGACCCTTGCTTGCTTGGCTGACAGCCCTGTTAGTGCCGGCTTCCCGGGACTGGATTCTCCTGCGAAAGCGATTAGGCAAAGAGGGTTTCTCCTTGAAGAGTTAATCATTCTTTTTTACAGGGCGCGCCTTTTCTCCATGCCACATTAGGCTTATCAGTTGTTGGTTTTTGAGTTATTAAAACGGTTTTCCAGGTGAAGAAAAATTTAATTCTAGGTGGACATAAGCTACCTTGAAGGCGCAGAAGGCGGGTGTAAAGCATCAAATATTTGTTCTATTAGTCTTTGTTAGATTCAAAGTCTCGTTAACGCTTTTCCAGAGTTAGCCTTCTTCCTATTTTCCATCCGGTTCCCCGCATTACTTGCCGGAAGGGACCCCTATACTGAACAAATTAAAAAGTCACAACGTGTAACGATGGAGAGCTCAGAGGAGGTGTAAATAAGTAATTACACTTTGATCAGTCCCCTCCTCCCTGGCATCCACGGTTATTCATTTAAGTCTTCGAGGCACCTGGCCACTTTGAATTCTGAACACAGATCTGAAGGCTTGCGGGTCTCAAATGTGGCTTTTCCCTTCCCTTTGGTGTTTCTCTGCGGATATATCCCTGTCGCAGGACCTTGTCGCAGCAAACCCCTTGTGAACAAACACGTCACTGAGCTTTCAGGAATGCTGTGGTGGTATTCCGAAACTTGGCCGCGTCGTTAGTGTTGGAGTGTAGCTCACTGGACCGAAGCTGTGGATGTTAGGGTTACTGGCAAAGGGAATCAGGTGCCCGAGCTGTCGCAACGCTCTTGGTAAAAAAAATGATTCCCCTCACCTCAGGTGGAGCTTCAGCCCAACTTGCAGGGACAGAAAACTAAAAGAACAGTAAGACAGCAGTTAGCAGTTAGCACCAGCAGACACCAGATTTACCCAATTTATATTATGTGCTCTTAAAAGTACATCGTTCAAGGGAGCACCCAAGAAACGTGGAAATAATGGCTTTCCTTCGAAAATGTAAATTTTTAACTATCTAAAGCTAATAGTCAGCATGGTTAATATTTGATTACATTTTCTGGTAGACCTACAAATCGGTGTTTTTCAATAAATTTCTGGAACTTTTGTATCATTTTCTGGGGAGGGGAACTGGTTCTCTCTCTTTTAAAATGCTAACAACCTTAGTTTATTCACATATGAAAACCAAGGTTAATTTAATGTTACACTGACTTATTCAAACAAACAAGGGTGTGTGTGTGTGTCCCTTTCTCTTTACCTTGATTTTAACTTTTAGAACTTATTTACAATACAGAGCCAAACTTCAAAGCTGCTGGCTATTGTTGGCCAATTCCGACTCAGATCATTTAACTGCTAGTTATCATTAGTACTATTTACACAGAACTACCTTCTGTGCTCTAGTAAGACGATTTACCCACTGTCTGGTGTGGGAAACATGGAGTTTATCTTCCAGACACTTACCCAGGATCCCCTAAACCCAAATCCCTTCAAAGCTGGTTCTAACTGACTCACCAGGAAGCCTCCTTCAATTTCCCTCACACTCAGCCCACCACAGTCTTGGTTCTAGACTACTGGAATTTGGTTCTTGCCAACACACCTCAAGAAAGTTACTTACTGCCTGTGTAGTTTACACTGACAATTTCATTTTAAACAGCCTGGCACATCGGAGAGGGGGGATTGCTATCCCATAACATTTAATAAAAAGACAGACAGATAATCCTTCCTCCCTGTCACCTGCTAAAAGGTTACCAATTTCTATTACTGCTTATGTTAACAAACCTTGCTAAAGGGATGGCTGTATTTTTACAGTACTATCATAGTAAAGCCTAAAAGAGGAAAAAAGGAGGACATTATAATTCTAGTAAGAAAAATATTATTAAAGTCAATGCTAGGATGGGGAAGTCTTGAAAACAAATCAGAGATGGTAAAAATAATTTCTTCAGTTACTGTTTAAGTTCTTATCTCACCAATCAAGTTACTTTATAAATTTAAGCACTCATTATTAGATAAGCTTTAATTTTATTATTTTATATGATAAAACAAATGGCCTGTATAGTTTGCATTATTCTTTCCTAGTAAATATCAGAATACTGTCTAGTTATTTTGGTTTTAACTTGTTACAATATGAGTATTCCACATAAATCTCAAGGGTTCATTTTTTCAGAAGAAAGGGTTATATGTATTTCTTGACAGTAATAGGGTCCAAGCAGAAGCCTTTACTGGTCAAAACTAAAATGTTTCATTTCTGCATGACAATAAGTTTTGCACAATTGCTTTGAGTCCCGAGGGTACTGTGTTAGTAAGTACTGCTGAGGTTTCATAGTGATGAATATTTAGTTATTGGGATAACCATGTTAACTTTCAACAAAACTCCAACATGACACTGATGTTTAACCACCCAGAACCAGGTTTCAAGGTTTTGCCTTTAAACAGTATCAAATTCCTGTAGAAACCCATGGCATTTATAGGATACTGAACTGTTTCTCAGTGCTCAAGGCCACATAGAAGTTAGAACACAGCCAGGAGCTCTGTTTAAATAACCAGCATTGCCACCTAACTTTTACAAATAAGATACAATGATTTCATTTCAAAGCA